TTTTTTTATTTTAATTTTTATTAATTACACTTTATTCACTTTGTATCCCCCATGACCCCCCTCTCCCTTCCCCTCCTAACCCCTCCCCCTTTTTCACGCATGCCCCTCCCCCAGTCCACTGATAGGGGAGGTCTTCCTCTCCTTCCATCTGACCCTAGCCTATCAGGTCTCACCAGGACTGGTTGCATTGTCTTCCTCTGTAGACTGGTAAGGTTGCTCCCCCCCTCAGGGGGAGGTAATCTAAGAGCAAGCCAATCAGTTTATGTCAGAGACAGTCCCTGTTCCCTCACCAGAGAACCCACTTGGAGACTGAACTGCCATGGGCTACATCTACGCAGGGGTTCTAGGTTATCTTCATCAGTGGTCCTTGGTTGGAGTACCAGTCTCAGAAAAGACCCCTGTGCCCAGATGTTTTGGTTCTGTTGCTCTCCTTGTGGAGCTCCTGTCCTCTCCGGGTCTTACTATTCCCTACTTCTTTCATGAAATTCCCTGCACTCTCCAAAGGTTGGCCATAAGTCTTAGTATCTGCTTTGATACCCTGCAGGGTAGAGCCTTTTAAGGCCCTCTGTGGCAGGCTCCTGTACTGTTTGTTCCCTGTTTCTCCTTCTTTGGATGTCCATCCTCTTTGCCTTTCTGTATGGGGTCATCCTGAGTGAGGTATCCCAGAAGCAGAAAGACACACAGGGTATATACTCACTCATAAGTGGATATTAGACATATAATATAGGATAAACCTACTAATATCTGTACACCTAAAGAAACTAATCAAGGAGGACTCTGGCTAAATGCTCATGGGCTCTTTTTAAAAGTTGTTGAAATAAGATTTTGTTAGTCCATAAAATGTTACTTGTATGTATACAATATCAGGCTAACTATTTTGTATGTGATAACCAATTGGTGTGCTCTTCCCTGGAGGAAACTCTATCTTCCCCCCTTAGCTGTTTTTAGTTCTTGCAGTTTGTCTAGGATTGGGGGCCCATGAGTTTTCTATCTTCCATCTTAGCATGTCTACTGATGTTGTCCTTATTCAGCTCTTGATTGGACAGCCATCTTTGAGACTTTGTGAATGTTTTTCCTATCAATATATATATAATCTCATGTGATGTGTATATATTATATATATTTGATGAGAGATTGTTTATTTGCTTTGGTATTATTTGACTTTTTTTAAATTAGTATAATCACCGAATGCAATTTTAAGATTTTTGTTGTTGTTTTGTTTTAGCACCTTCTGAGTGAAAAACACAGAAACTTTGCACAGAGCAACCACTATCAAGTTGTTGATGATATTATATCTAAATTGGTTTTTGATTTTGTGGAATATGAAAGAGATACACCTAAAAAGAAAAGGTAATTAATTTGCCAGAGTTCTACTTAGAATGTTAAGCTATTTTATGACACTAAAAATTAATCTAAAGTTTGCTCTTTGAAGGAATACAGATTTTTTTTTTAACGTGACATTAATATAGTTTAGAGCTAATACCTTCTTCACTTCTTTTTCCCTGCTACCAAAGATACTTGTTTCCCTCTGACATAGTTTTGAAAGGGAGTTCACAGTTTTTTCTATGAAGGTCAGTATAGACTTGATAGTGTAGGTTTTGTGAACAGAAAGAGCTCACTGGCCTCTGCTCAGCTTTGTTACTGAACAGTGGACATGGCTGTGTTGCAGCAAACATTTCTGAAGAAAACAAAGTGAAGACCAGGTATACCAACAGCTGGCATTGTCAACCTCTGGTGTTGAACCAGAAAGCTCAGACAAAAAATGTTGGTTAGAAATGCTTTCATAGATCCATATGCTGTGGGGTTGATAATTTGCCTATTTATTTTTGTCCTAATCTTCAAGCATAAAGATTAGAGATGTGATAACGAAACACAGCTTCTGAAAAGTGAGTTGGGCTGCTGTTATGTTCAGGCTCTGGATCTCTGTGAGCTCTTAGAGTACTTTTTGGCTGTTTTACTAATGTGGTCATGTGAGGACTTAAATCTTTCTGAAACTTTCAGGAAGGCCCTGAACATACAGTTTTTTAACCAGTAATTACCTAATCATTTTCTCAGTACAATTTTTACTTGTCAGTCTGAACATCTGTGAAGGTACAGTTGGACAGTTTAAAGTATAAACAAAATTATTCTGGTAGGAGAGACAGGTGAATTGTATATTGTTCACTGTTTCTTGTGATGCATGGTGCAAAGTTTAACTGGTGACCCGTTAGCTTGTCATGCATTTATTTGTACATAATTTAGCATTGTGCAAGAAAAAGTAGCAACCCAAGGATCCCAACATTCTACCTGAAGAAGAGTTTTGGGTCAAATATGTGAAATTGTAGGGTTACTTTGTCATCTTTACAAATATAAGTGTCCAGTTCACTTTTCCAGTAAATACTTTCTGTTGATTTAAAAAAAAAAAAAAAAACTAGTAAAATGCACATTAAGAATAAACTGAAGTGCTGACATTTTTCTAGGTTAACAACAAAGTCAGGGTGAGATGCAGATACTATACTGTCATCTCCTTTTGGTTTATGTAAGTCATGTTATTTTATTTTTTCATAATTAGTTCAAAGTTCAGGGTATTGGTTACCTCAGGGAGAAGAATGGGGATGGGAAGTGCGCATACACCGGAGTTTTCAGCTCTGTGTAGGTGACTTGTTTTTTACTCTAAAAACGTCTGAAGTAAATGAAGATTTCTGTGCTAGAATTATCTTAAATCGGTTTCTTAAGTAACTCATAGGTAGTTTTACCAATGTCTTATTTCTGGTTTTTCTTTTTTCTTATAAAGAATAAGGTACAGTGTCAGATCCCTTTCTCCTGTTCCTGCAAATATCCTGAAAAACACTGAAGCAAAGGAGAAGCTACCGTTGCAGCCCATTTTCCAAAAGGATGTGGGAGAAAGCAATGGGCAACAGTTCCAGCAGAGTTTTCAGTGTGAAGAATCCCAGAAACCTGGACAAAAGCTTGTGTTTGCTTCAGAACCCACGTCCTACTCTTCAACTGGATTGAAAGGACGTGATGAGAAAACATTGAGCATGTTAAATGCAAGTGAACCTGACATGAAAGAGAATTTTACACAGCTACCTCCATGTAAAAATAAACAGGAAGGAATTGTTGATGTTTCTGAACATAAACCAACTCTAAATAGAAATGATGTAGGACAGAGGGTGGGTACCACTCCAGGTGTGCCTCAGTCGTGTGTGCAAGTCTCGTATCTCAGTCCAGAAGATAGTCCACCCCAGCCAAAGTTAACAGCAGATGTTACACATGTTTCAGCAGAAGATCTACAGGAAAAGGACCTTCATGTTGTATTTGGTCATGACTGTGACCGGGTGACATTGAATGCATCAAAAGAGCACCTAATGATGAAGGCTAGAACTCCATCTCGTAGTTCCCAGGAACCTAACGACATTGAGAATATGGATAATTTGCCTTGTGGTAAGATCCAGCGGAAAGTGAGAATACCATTAGGGAAAAAGAAAACACCTGACGAACCAAGTGCTGAACAGGACAGAAACAGAACTGAGTGTCTTCCTGCACATGAAGACAGAACTTGTGGGTCACCAGTGCCATCTCTGCTGGACCTTTTTCAGACAAGTGGGGAGAAATCAGAATTTTTGGGTTTTACAAGCTTCACTGAAAACAGTGGAATATGTGATGTTTTAGATATTTGGGAGGAAGAAGATTCAAGTAGTCTGCTATCAACATTTTTCTCTTCCCCTTCAACTTCTACATTTGTTGGATTTTAGTATTTAATGTGCTTTTCAGATGTGACAGATTCCTGAAATTTTATAAATGCATATACAATTCTTAGGAGTTGTGGGGTTTTTTGTTTTGTTTTGTTTTGTTTTGTTTTTGACAACTTTGTTTATGGAGCCATTTGTAAATATTAATTAAGATGATTGTAATTTTTTACAGAATTTAGTAGCTGTTACAGATTATACAATAAAATCTTGATTTATTTTACATACTACAGTCATTGTTTCATGAGAGTTACAATGAGTGTCATTTGCTTTATCAGTGAAAATAATTTCAAGTGAGATTTTATACATCAAAATTAAGCACTATATATTATATGCTGTTAAACATTGCCTATTAGCATAGATTTCCATGACGAGCATGGTATTGCCTAAAGACAAATTTCTAGTAGAAAGGGAAAAAATGTACTAATGGTATATTTGGATTACTAGAAACATTGACTCAGCAAACAGGTGCAGCTAGATTCTGCCAGGATCCTCACACTGCAAACTGAGTTATAGGTTTGACAGCAATCCCAAAACTGTAAAGAAGAACTTAGTTAATATACTTGAGAATACTTTCTTAAAAAGTGACTTCTTGTTTGGTACTAGATGAGGAGAGATGCAGTGAGTTGATGGAATTGTAAGGTGCCGGGAGGAGCGGCTTGCCCTGACACCTGACTGTAAAATAACTCGGAACACGGAAACTAAATGTGAGATGAATTTCATCCTTTTCCTTTGAGTATGTTTGTACAGGAGTGAAAACTTACCACTAAGGACAATTGTTCATGGCCGAAAGGATGGTGCCACTAACTCCTTCATAAAAATACAGTGTTAGTAAAATTGGTTATCCATATTCACTTAAAATGTTTTGTTACATTCATTTATGTGTCTATGGTGGTGGGGAATCACGGGCCATGGTGTGGTTCTGGAGGTCAGAAGATAACCCATGGAAATCAGTTCTTTCCTGCTGTGTGGGTCCCAGAGGTCAAATTCTGGTTGTCAGGTTTGGTGGCAGCCTCCTTTTGCCTCCTGAGCCATCTCACAGGTCCAGTAGTAGTATTGAATTTTGGAAACTAAGGCAAAATGTCAACAAACAACTTCCGGGGTAACAGAAAGTACCATTGCAGATTGAAAAAGCTGCTACTCTTATTTTAAAGCATCATGCAGCAAATAATTATTTGAGAATATAAAAATCTTGAAACTTAGAAAAGTATATATAGGCTCTTTTTACCTTCAGGTCTCCAAATTGTTTTGTATTGTTTTGCTTTAGTTACATTCATTAAAAGCTGAAAATTTCAGTTGTTTAAAATTTTAATTTGACTAGATTTCAACTTTAATACTATAAACACTGGATATTTAGAACGTCTCCAAGACCTTCCTAATGAGTACAGGGCCTTAAAGTTTAAATGTTTGATTACCCAAAACAAGGCTATAAATAGTAGGACAACTAGAGCTGCATGGTTTGTATGGGTTGCGCTATGCAAAGGACACTCAGCTAAGGCCACCAAGGCAAGTAGAATTGTAGCCTGTACTGTTCCAAGGCCATGAAGATACATCACATGAAGGAAGTATTTAAACTTGGTCAAGTTTCCCTCCCTCTCTCCCCTTCTCCCTCTGGTTTCTAGATTTGCATCTTTATATCTTAAATGTGAAGTGCCATTAAAGGAAAATCTTCAATTATCCTTAAGTAGAGTAGATAGGTAAGTAAGTTAATTTGCTTAGTAAAGAATAATATGATTTCATTTAAAAAGTCTTATTTAATATTGAGAAATCAGTTTATTTCAAGCTTGGCTCTTTATCAGTTCAAGCAAAATCATGTACACACACATATATATGTACCTTGATCTAATCAGAAGAACTGCATTGGTGCTTCTCTTTGCTAAGTTATAACTTATGGGTCTGAGGAATGAAACTGAAATAATAAGGGAGTTTCAATATTCCTGAGTACAATTTTTTATTACTGTTAATAAACATTCTATTTGAACATGAGTCTTAGAAAAATTTAAACGTGATAGAAAGTTCTGTTGTCAAGCTTGAAAATTCTTATGACTTATCCTTTCCAGGAATAAACTCAACCAAAGAAATATTTCTGCATACTCCTTTTCAAAATGCTCTTAGCAATAATATTACCATTTCAAAATCAGCTATTTGCCTGTTACCAAGTCTCAACTTTTGGGAGGGAGAACCTCAGTTTGGATGGTAATCATGTCAATGGGAGGGTATTATTACTATTATTTTCTGGGGTCCAGACCCAGGCAAGAACACAGCCTGAAGCACGGTGGATGCTAGAGCTGTGACAGATGAATGGTCCAGGCACCAGGATGCAGGGGTCAAGTTTTGCAGCCTGACTGACGGTCAGAATGCTTTTTTATACAAAACTCAGTCATAAGAGATAGATACATGTTATTCCAAAACATGGGTCATATCATTTTTGTCACTGGACCTGTGTTTTAACTTCCTCTTAGTCATAAGTTTCATCATTATTGATAAAATAGAACAGAGTTATCTTTTAGAATCATTTTTAATTCACTAATTCCACAACCCAACTTTTAAGTACCTTGCACTTTCAAGGGCACTAGACAGAAAATCTCCAAGCCAGACAATGACAGGTTATCATGTCCCAACTTTTTATGGTCAGAGTGTTAATTATTCATAGGCCCAAGAAAAACCTTCAGGCCAAAAAGCTGCTGCAGTTATTCAATTTGTGGCACAAAACAATGTTTATATATTTGTAGAACTTATATGTCTAATCTTGATACTCTTTTGTTCCTTAGTCATATGACACCACAGCAGCCCTGCATGAGCTAACTTATCCTGAGAAAAGGGAAGTCTTAATACTTTATCCTTTTATCATGTATCCATACCATGCTTTGTCCATTAGTAGTAAGAGGCCTTTAATTTGATCTGCTGCCTACTTCTCTTGCCTACTGGATCTTGTTTACCTTTTAAGTTAAATTTGTTTGGGTTATCTTGTTCCTGATTAAGGGCAGGGGCAGGTGCTTCAGCAGTGTCTTGCCGTCAGAGCCTCATAAAGAGGTCTCGTTTATCTGTTTTGAGTCACAGCCTCCAGGGCATAAGGAAGACCTTCAAGTAGGCCAGATAAGGCCATCTCCCAAAAAGCAGGATGGGTAGTATGCTCAGGACTTTCCTGGGGAAGCTTAGAAGCAGTACTCCCGGGTGAAGGTATACATGATTCATAAAAATTTGTCACTAATATCCCCAAGTTGTAGGAATAATAAAAGCCCTCCTTGTTCCCCAGTACAGCAGCGTTTGCATCACTCAGCTCAGCTTCTTGGACCTTGTCAAGCAGCTGTGCTAGCTATGCCTTTCACTGTTCCCATTAGATAGGACTGTGCCTATTATTATTATTACTCTTACTACTGTAGAAGGATCCAGCTCATTGTGAGTAGTGCTATCCCTGGACATGTGGACCTGGGCTGTATGAGAAAGAAAGCTGAGCAAGCCCTGGAGAGCAAGCCAGTAATCGGTGTTCCTCCATGGTCTCTTTTTCAGATGCTGCCTCCAAATTCTTGCTTGAGCTCCTGCCCTTGCTTTCCTTTTTGAGGAACTGTATCCTGTATTATGAGATAAGCCCTTTCTCCCTGAGTTGGTTTTAGTCAGTGTTTTTATCACAGCAACAGAAAACAAACTACTACAATCTTACTGGAAGGAGTAAATTGAGTGGTAATTGAGAGGACCCCCAAAATTTATGAAGCATCCAAAAATACATATTAGGTACCACTGATCCCATAAAATCTTTTTTAGCCTATCATAGCACTTTCATATACTCTGTATATAATTAATCCCTCAAAAGTCTCTGAGTTCCTTGAGTGTCTCATAGATTCCAGGAAAGTGTTGGTTCCCATTGGAGACAAACTCAGAAGAAATTTGGTTTGCAGGATGTTTAAGGAGTGACTGGCTATTAGCTGACTCCAGGGGTTGCTTCTTGGAGTTTCTAAGTGAAGAGAGTTGGTGGTCATTGAATATGGACCATTCCTTCAAGGGGCCTCACTGTGGTCCAAAAGGCTAGCTAGCTACCTCCCTCTGTGCGCTGATAGTTGAAAGCTATCTGCCAGTCAGTGGTTCCAGCAGGTGGAGCACCTTACTGATGGATCAGGATTGATAAGCCTGGATATGGCTGCCTTTTGCTGTGCAAGGAAACTAACATGGCCAGGTCGTAGTTGTAGCTTAAAAGTCAGCAGTTTTCTCCTACTTCCAATGTCCATCCCATTTGCCTTTCTAAGTGAGGATTGATCATCTTAACCCCCGCATTGGAAGTAGGAGAAAACAACAAGTAACAGGACAGGAGCCTACCACAGAAGGCACCTGAAAGACTACCTAGCAGTGAATCATATGCAAGGGAATCATGAAAGAAGGGGGAGTTAAGTAAGATCTGGAGAGGATAGGAACTCCACAAGGACCAAATATATCTGGGCACAGGGGTCTTTTCTGAGACTGATACTCCACCAAGGACCATGCATGGATATAACCTAGAACCCCTGCTTGAATGTAGCCCGTGGCAGCTCAGTATCCAAGTGGATACCCTAGTAAGGGGAACAGGAACTGTTTCTGACATGAACTCAGAGGCTCTTTGACCTCCCCCACCACCCTCAGGGAGGAGCAGCCTTGCTAGGCCACAGAGGAGGACATTGCAGCCAGTCCTGAAGAGACCTGATAAGCTAAGGTCAGACGGAAGGGGAGGAGGACCTCCCCTATCAGTGGACTTAGAGAAGGGCAGGGAGAAGATGAGGGAGGGAGGGTGGGATTGGGAGACAATGAGGGAGGGGGCTACAGCTGGGATACAAAGTAAATAAACTGTAATTCGTATAAAAAATAAGAATAAAAAAACAGGAAACAAACAAAAGTCAGCAGTTTTCCCAGTTAAACACAAATGCAAGAGGATTGGAACAGTACCAAGGACAGTTGCTCTTTATCTGTTGGTTCTCAGACTTACCTATGCTTTTTTTTTTTTCAGTGAGCTACCAGAGTACCATAAAATATTTTGAATTTAAAATATAGAATATTCCAGATGATAATACCTAAACTCAAAAGATAATGGCCACCAACCAGATACTACTGTATTCTAATGCCTTTATCATTTTGGTTAATTCTCTATGCAGTAAGAGCTAT